TTTCCCTACTCAGAGATCTTGGCACCCGTGCTTGTGGTGTAGCGAGGTCTGTTGCCTCACTTAGAGTAGACCACAAAGCCAAGCCCACTTCCTCCAGGCTCTCAGCAGAGCACTCCAGGGAAAGCTTTATCAAATTGTATCATACCATCTGGGTCCTGCTGACTCTGGCTTTCAGAAAAGCCCCTCTCTTGACTAATATCAGCACCGTTAATACAGAACCAGGGCATGCAAAGCAATGACTGAAGATGCATGTACTGGGATCTCTCATTACAATGTCCTGCCAAGTCTGATGTCCCTGTAGGATTGACAAGGGTCATTATAATGTCAGAGTCACTTCTCTGCTCTGTGCTGTGCCTTGGTTTCCCCATATGTAAAATAAAGATCATGATGGTGACTTTCCCTTTCAAAGCACTTTGAGATCTAGGGATGAGTAGAGCTCTGTCTAAGAGCTAGTGGTTGTTACTGAGCTTCCTTGGAACTATGCAGTGATGGCACAGAGAGAACTCAGATCCTTATGCTCCAAAAATTTTGGGCCCTGCTCCTTGAAAGAGAAATACTATTGGCAGTGACAGGTCAATGTCACACTTCAACAGTTTGGATTCTAGGCAGCCCCTCCCTGGCTAGTACATTGCAATACTTTCCTCTGAGCATGTCAGAGTGCTGCGTGGAAGTCAGGCACACAATCTACTTTTGGTGCTGCATAAGTAGGCCAAGGCTGTCCAGCAGATGGGGCATTAGCAATCTATGTAAATGGGCTAACACTGGCCTTTGAAGTGTGGGTGGAATAACATTTGTGAGGGGATTGGCATCTTGTCTCACCCCTACAGAGCTCTGCCAAAGTGCTGTGGTGACACTGGTGAACCAGTGTCTCGTTGTTGTGCTTTGTATGGACACATTGTAGAAACCACATTCAAATCCAGCTGCAGGGATAGTGATTTTTAAACTGGGTTTTCTGACTGTACCATTGAACAGCTATGTGGCTGAAGGGTAGGATGCCTGGCTTCTCCCAGCTCTTTCACCACTTTACTCAGCCAAGTTGCTTCACTTTTTTGCCTCAGCTTCTCCTTTGCAAGATGAGATGGTTCTTACCTACCTTTTAGAGATGTTCTGAGACATGCAAAGTGCCCCTTGCTTCTCAATAGAAAGACAAAAGGGTTGATGTCTCAGGTCTGTAAGCTCAGTCAACATACTTTGGGCAGTCTAAAAAATCTTTCTGGGAACTAAGCCTGGTGCTAAAGGGAGTGTGTGTAACAGTGAACTACATTTAATTGAATGCCTTCTCAGCAAAATTGCAGCTGCAGTTATTTTAGTCAGTTCAGTTTCAGCTTGTGATGTATAATGAGCATGTATCAAGCAGCATGTTAGAACTTTAGGTCTAATTTTGGTCTTGCATCTGTGTAGCTGTGACTCCAAGTGACTTGCACTGTGTAATTTGAGGCTGGATTGCCCTATTCCTAAAAGAATGGTGCTGCTTACCTAATCAGCAGGGATCCTGGTTTTCTGTGATAAAAAAATGCAAATTCTCTTATTAAAAAAGCGCAGATTCTCTGATTAAACCCCTCCAAATGCATGATTAAACCCCTCCAAATCCATGATTAAAATTAAAGGCCCCCCCACGGCCCTGCTGGTGCCCCTCACTTCCCCACATAGCCTCCCCAGCCCTGCTGGTGCCTGTCTTTGCCCCCACAACAACCCGCCAGCCCTGGAAGGAAGTGGCACAGGGCTCCACCACTCAGAGCAGCGGCAGGCACAGGAGGCATGGTGGGGGGGCAAGGAGATCCTAGAGTGGCCCCGCTGTTCCCAGTCATGCCGGGTCTTGCCTGTGGGGCTACAGTGGCCCTGAATGAGGGAAGCAGGGCAAGAGCTCGAGCCTGCAGCCTGCCCCCCACACAGATCTGGGGGCGCGGGTCCCCCTGCCCTCTGAGAATGAACAACATGGAATGCCCGGCTGGCTCCACATCTCCCCACTTCCAGCTGGCACCTCCATGTGCGGTTTCCCTTAAGGGCTCCTAGAGCCACTTCAGTTTCACATGCCCCAGGCCAGGCACTCCGGCCACAAGTGGGGCGATGTAGAGCCAGCCGGGCACTCTGTGTATTTCTCCAACACCTCCCTGCTCGCAGCCGGAGTGCCTGGCCAGGGGCACGTGAAACCAAAGCAGCTCTAGCAGCCCTTTAGGGAAGCTGCATATGAAGGTGCCAGTCGGGCACTCCATGGATTATCCAACATCTTTCTGTTCCATCAGCCCAAGCCAGCTTCCACCCTAGCCCTGCCCTGCAACCCCTCAGATCCCTGCAAGCCCCACTTACCACTTCACAGGCTCCAGGAGGAAAGTGAGCCTGACCTAGGGCTCGTGACTAACTAAAAGCCACAGGCTCTGCCCTTCCCCCTCTCCCTCCTCCTCTCTCTCCTGATGTGTGCCCCTTATATACTTATAGGCTGCCACCAAGTCACCCCTGAGCCTTCTCTTCTCCAGGCTGAAGAGTCCCGTGTCCCTCAGCCTCTCTCTCTTGGCCTTTGGTCATATGGGTGGCTCTTCTTTGGATTTTCTCAAGCTTATCCACATCCCTCCTGAAGTGGGGGGCCCAAAACTGGACACAGTACTCCAGCTGCAACCTCAGTAAGGCCGAGTAGAGCGGGAGGATGATATCCCTGCTTTTGCGTGAGATGCGTCGGTGGATACATGCCAGTGTTTGGTTTCCTTTGCCAGCCATGGTATCGCATTGGTGGCTCATGTTCATCTAGTGCTCAATCAAGACCCCCCAAGCCTCTTTCGGTCATGGTGCTACTGAGTGAAGCACTGCCAAGCCTATAAGTATGATGTTGGTTTTTCCTCCCAAGGTGGAGTACCTTGCACTTCTTTATGTTGACTGCCATCAGGTTTTGGTCCGCCCACCTTGTGAACATATCCAGCTCGGCCTGTATCCCCAGCCTGTCTTCTAGCGTGACCACCTTCCCCACCCTAGTTTAGT